CTCATACAACCCCACTTCAAAAAAAGTGAACTATCCCTTTAAAGCTGCCTTCTCTCTTCTCTGGGCTTGTTTATGTTTGTAATGTGTGTAAAATGCCTGTAGCAGTCCCTTTGATAGTCAGGGTCAGCGAGAGCAGTAGCAGGTTTCTGGGTTTCCAAGTTGAATTTGTACACTGCTTCTTCAGCTACAAGACACTCTGATTTCAAGATCTTTCCATAAAAAACACTGAATGAATGTTTTACATCCTGTGTCTCCAAAATGAATGATGGGTCGATTTTCCTCATCAATATAGACATAACAATCAATTTTTTTAAAATCGATATGACGTGTCCAAATCTCATTTTTATGACGTCATCATTTTGACCAAAGATTGACAGGTGAAGTTCCCAAGAAAGCTAGTGGAACTCAGATACGCGACAGACATGTAAACTCTTGCCTAAAAAAATTAAGGCTGACAGTCAATATTGACTGTTTTATCAAGCTGCAAAACCAGGAATAACGACTGTTAACCAGTGTCAGTTTTCTTCTCTTGCGGTGTTTGTGGAAGCCCGAAGTTTCCGGGAATATGCTTTTTTAAATCCTAGGATCCTAGATGTCGCAAACAAGTACAATGAAGCTAATTTGTAAAACAACTATTAATGCTGACAACGAAATTCCAGATTCTCCTGCTGATAATTTCAGCTAAAATCAATAGAAGCTGGTTTCCGCTGTCTTTTGGGCACTTAAAGGTGATAAGTCAGTTGGCCAGCCAGTATCAGCTGATTCACTAGTTTGACCACCAGTTCAAGCTGCTAGGTAAACCAGCCTACTCAGCTTTGAACCATCGCACACCTACACCCGTGTGCAAATTATTTGAAGCAAGCTGCAATTTTTCAGTCTTTAATCCCAATTCATGTTCTCAAGCAAAAACCTGCTTTTTGTCTTTGTTTTTTTAATTTCTTTCAGCAGGTCAAAATGAAATCAAACTATATAAGAAATCTCATAATATTTGTGGTGTGTGTGATGTAAAAATTGAGCATATAGAGTTGTTACATCAATCGGTACGGCACCACGTTTCTTGGTATTTCGTTTCTCTGGCTAGTTAATTGTGAATCAGACATTGCCTGTGATGGATGTGCCCTCGAGAAAGTGCGCGAAGATCATGGCAGCGAGTCATACAGGGATATAGAAAGTACAGTTGATGTCAGTCTTTCTGCCTTTAAAACTGTGGTCATATTATGTATTAAATCAATATGATTCATAATAAAAGACAGTTTAAATGTGAAAAAAAATTAAATCCATCTACTGTTTTCACTGCTTGTTTCAATCAATTTGTACATGGGTGTAGTTGGAATTTTCAGCAGGGATAGGCTGTGGTTGCAATGCTAATCTGTTTTTTTGTGTGACTATTTTGTCGCTTTTTTGACAGTTAAATGTGGCTTTACATTTAAAATTGTTCAATAATACAAACTGCCCGCGTTAGTGCAATCTTTGAGTTCACTGGTTGATTTAATAACTGGCATTTGAGCATCAAATGTATCCATACAGCCAATGGGACTGAGGCATTTAACCCAATCTGGCACTTTCCCAAGCACGCTATTGGATGATACCTCAAAATATGTTATGCATGTCAGATCGCAAACATAGCTTCCCGCTCTCTTTGCCGGAAATAGTTACCAAGACAAAATTACCAGAAGACAAAAATTTGATGGAGGTATACTTGCCACAAAAACATGCATATTAGGAACACTCTTGCCAGTAGCCCTGACCAAGGATCTGGCTTTAGAACTGGAGTTGGTCCCCAGGCGCTGCTCTGTGGCTGCCCACTGCTCCTAACTATAGGATGGGATAAATGTAGAGGCCAAATTGCCCCGCGGGGTTCAATAAAGTGTATCTTGAATAAATTAAAAAAAAAAAAAAAAATTTTAATTGTTGAAAAGTCCAGAAGATGTTAATAAATAATTTGGTCCTCCCTCAATAGGGACCATCAAAATGCACAAAATCTCCCGTTGGCCCTCAGCCTACTTGTCCACAGTTGTTGGCAGTGGCTGTTCTCTGCTCTGATCAACCACCCCACCTTAGCCTGTGTACAGGAACTAAATACTCCCGGCGTAGCAATCTAGGCTTGTTTAAATTGACTCATAGCGCCCCCTGCCGTTATGGAGGGCAAATTGGAATTGGGACATATGTGAGCAAATCCTTTGAACATTTTCGAGATAAACCTCAGCACCATGCCATCACAGTGGGAACACTGAGCCAAAAGTCATGAGATTTTTTTTTTTTTTTATTTTTTGTACTTTTGAGAGTTGAATTGTGGTGTTTTAGTAACAAGTTGTGTATTTGTTTGTTAGGTACATTTCGTATTTGCAAAACAAAATACACTAGTTTGTTAATGGTGTTTCATTTGCAAACCTCACTATTTGTCAGTGAATCGCTTTTGTGTTTGCAAACCACACTGTGTGTTAGTGAATCGCTTTTGTGTTTGCAAACCACACTGTGTGTGTTAGTGAATCGCTTTTGTGTTTGCAAACCACACTGTGTGTGTTAGTGAATCGCTTTTGTGTTTGCAAACCACACTGTGTGTGTTAGTGAATCGCTTTTGTGTTTGCAAACCACACTGTGTGTGTTAGTGAATTGTAGGGCATTTGAAAACATGTTTTGTTAAGTTTTGGCAGGGATTTAATACCACAAATTAGTTGAGCAGATGATGGCCAAAATGTCACATATTGTTATTATGAACTTGCCAACAAGAAGAACTTTATTTAGCATTGTGATACAGTATAATTTAGTATTTTAACCCCATGCTATAACTTTAAATATAACTTTATACAATAGTAGTTGTCTTTGGCCTCGAGACATTAGTGCAATACCTGTTAGAGCAAATCAAGGATTTTTTTTAAGTTATGAGTTCTGAAGAAGAGGAAGAAGACAAAAAAGTAACTACAAATAAGTAGGGTTTGTGACAGAATATCTGCCATAGAATCATACCATTTCAGTGTCTTTTACTGAGTGCTGTTTTGGATAATTCACATGTTCTCTGTCATTATGCTTAATATATACAAATTTAGACCATCTGTGAATAGGTATTTCATTTTAGCATGAATCCATGTTCGCAAAGGACAACAAGCCAGTTGTTGAGGTCACAATGGAAAATATTAATACAAGGGTGACATTATATAAAATCTATCTTGACAGAGGTGATTCTCCCCACATTGCTGAAAAATATCCAGTCATACCCTGCCGTCTCCCACTGTGCAATCTGCAATAATGTAGGACAATGCCAATCATTGAGAACAGATCAAGGAATTCACACCTTGACAAGTGAGAGACCCATTTCACGCATGGATGGAATGTTTGATGGAAAACATATGTACATATGGATAATCATTACTAACACCAAGCCATACTTCATAATCTATCTGATGAAATGACTTTACGCTGGCCGAGTCATGAGGCCACAGCACTACGGCTACTGCGGTGTATTTCACTCAATCATCCCATAATTATTCAGCGAGAATGCTGTTTGCAACTGGGCCGAAATAGGAGAAAAGCTCGCTATGCTCATCCCGCGATGCCTTTTCCTGCTCTCTCAGTTATTCTTTTTTCCCGTTCGCTGAATCTCAGAACGCGCTTTCCGCGCCAACACGCACTCGGCGCGAGCACGTACGCCTTCTGAAAATAACACGACCGGGCTCTTTAATCTTCTGCCTTCTCGGATGCACGCTGAGACACCCGTGAGCTCTGAAATGAACACGTAGGATAAAAGAGGCAAAAAAAAAAAAAAAAAAAACGGAGAGGAGCAGAGAAAATGGAGGGGAGAGAGAGAAGGGAGAGATAAGCTGGGAGAAAGACAAACAGAGGAGATGGATGGTGAAAAAAAAATGAAAACCAAATTTTCTTTCGCAATCTCGCTGTTCCTGCAGCAGGTGCTGGGCCATTTCAGTAAAGCAGACCAGAGGAGAATGTCATTAGTTCCTAAGCCCCAGGTGAATTTGCCACTGTTCCACATGATTAAGTCAGATAATTGTGTGTTGATAGCGAGCATGGTCGATGGAATACAATTTTCAGGCGAGATTCCTAAACAAACAGCTCAGCAGAGAGCTCGGGGGAAGGGGGCTGTTGGGGTGGGGGTCGCTGGAAAGGCAGGGTGTGTGTGTGTATGTGTGTATGTGGGTGTGCGTCTGATTTCGGGGGCACAATCCTTGCACCATTCAGGTTCTGGGAGGGTGATCAACCTGCATGCTGATTGGAGGGGTCAGCAGCTAAAGTGAGGACACTCCCATCGGGATCGAGTAATGAGTCGCCTCACACACGTGGTTATACTGGCTCTGAGGCTTTCATGGCTTGGTTTGTTGTGTAAGTGTAAGTTTTCTGTAACGGCTTGAGTGATGCTGCCTGCTGACAACCTGTCTGACCCCCTACTGAAGCCTGGCTTGATATTTTTGTTTATTTATATAGAATATTTTTTCCCCTAAAAAAATTCAATGGCAGGTGGCAGCCCGGTCTTCAGTTTACAATGAGTGTGACTTCAAAAGTTCTGTCAAAATTTAGTTTTCTGCATATCCCTGGTCTTGTTAATGTACTGGGCCACATACTATACAATACCTGCTTGCTCCTAAACAGGTGTGGTAGTTCCAGACATGCTTAGAAGTAGAGGACTGCAGCCATCTACAAAATGAGGGGCTTAAACACAGTTCTCACCTATGTCGGCTGAGCTTTAGGCCACTTAATGCCCAAATTGGAAAGCCACGATCTGTATTTCATCCAACTGAGAAACTGAGGAAACAAATTAAAACAAATGTTGTTTTATATTTAATAACAAACATGACTAAGAGTGGTTAAAACAGCAGCAATACAATTGCTTCATGATTTCCCAGGGTAATATGCTATAACTTCACTGAAATGTGCGGTGTATTGCTGAATATTTACAAGAGCAGCTAATGTAGAGCGGACAGCATGGTGGTGCAGTAGGTATCACTGCAGCGTCACAGAAATAAAGTTGTGTTTGAAAGCAGTCAGGGGACGCAGTGGCACAGTGGTTAAGCGTGCTTGACTTGTGATCAAAAGGTCCTGAGTTCTAATCCTTGCCACAGCTTTTGCGGTGTGTTCTTGGGAAAAAAACCCTTTACTCCCACAGTGCCTCACTTCACCCAGGTGTATAATTGTGTACCAGAAAATTGTCACGGAAACCTGATTAAGAGCTGGGGGGTAACCTGCCCTTGACTAGCATTCCATCCAGGGTGAGTAGCAATACTCCTAGTTGCTTCATGCTACAGCAGGGACACTCACTCTTTTCCAGAATGAAACAGTGTGGGTGCAGGTTTCCATTCTAACCAACCAGTCACACACCTCATTCTACTAATCAACCCTTAAAGCCTTTGCCATAGACCCTTGATTAGTAGAATCAGGTGTGACGCTGCATGGTTAGAGTGCAAGCCTGCACCCACACCGGCTCATTCTGGAAAAGAGTGGGTAGGTATCCCTGTGTTACAGAAACCAGAGTTAAGCGCCGGCCCGATGAGCCACAGAATGGGCTCGGGGCAGACTTTGCCTTGAATCCTGCCTGGGGCCTTTCTGTGCAGAGATGGCACGCTCTCCCTGTGTCTGCGTGGGTTTCCACTGGGCAATCCAGTTTTCTCTCACAGACCAAAAACATTCATGTTGAGCATACTGGAAACTGTAATTTGCCGGTTGGTATGAGTGTGTAAGTGAGTGGTGTGTGCCCCTTGCGATGGATTGGCAAGCTGTCCAGGGTGCGTCTCTGCCTTTTGCCCATGGTCAGTTGGCAGTTGGCATATATTGAAATGTTTTACAGTGCCATGGCAGATACAATGATTTCAGTATTTCAGCTGATTCCTCACCAGAGGGTGCTTGAGCTTGCTCAAGTGAACACTGGTCTAACTTTAAAATATTATATTAATGTGACTTCATTTGTTTGTGCATGTCTAAGTTGCTTGAGTATACGGGTGAATATGTGCTTCTGTGAGTATGTCTGAGTGTGCAAAAAAAATGAATGCACGTGGACAGGCGTCTGTATGTATACTAGTATACTTGTATTGCTCACTGTTGATTGTGGCACTGGAATTGGGGTTTTCTGTTTTTGTGTACAGTTAGGAAGTTTGCAACTCAGTGCAAGGGTTTGATGGGTAATAAGAATGAATTTCCTCCAGGCCAGAGGCAGCACCGCTTGCCCGCTCACCTCCTCACACCTGGGATTTTCATCCATCCAAATGTCACACCGGAGAGCACGAGTAGCCAACCGCTGCCCTACGAAGGCAATATCTTAGCATGAGCTACCTGGGAATATAAACCTAGCCATTCCATTAGCCCCTTTCATTAAATTCAATACAGCGGGACATCTGTGTCCTGCCAAGAGACGGGGATGGAAATGCCGGATGAGAGCGAGGCATATCAGAATTTGAATGAAAATACGGGGTGTTACCACAGCCCGACCCGGCCGGGGCAGCCCGAGAATCTTGATGATACGGGGCATGACTTCATCAGCTGGTGGTATGGAATAATATAAAGGAGGGGTTTGCAAACCGACCGCAGAGTTCAGCATGTCACAGACCCTCGGCAAAGCCTCAATGCCACCGGCTAGAAAAAACACCTGGAAAAGAGCATGCTGTTAAAAAGAATTTCTTAAGTCTGGAGTGGTTTTTCTTGCATGGGCAGAGAATCAGCGACGCTTTATTGATGGATAACCTCAACTCCACAAGAACTAAGATAGTATGTAAAATTCACAAAGTGATTTGTAAATCCTATTTTACCTACATTTGGTTTAAAACCGCACAAAGACAAAAATTTTAAAGTTTCACCTTATCAACTGTATTGATTTTTAACATTCACAAATTTCAATGTTGATGACTGTAACACATTCCAGAATAATTGGGAGAGGGGAATTAAAGCAGTGGAATACTTGTGAAATATTAAGAAAAACACAACATTCCTCAGTGAAGCAGGTGAATATGAAACAGGGTATGAAATGAGCAGTCACCAAATGTACGGTCGACTATAAACAAAATGGTTTGAGGTTTGCCACTTTGCCAAAAGCTGCCTGAACAAATAATCAAACACTTTAACCCCTCTGTTCAGATGTAGACGCCAGCGGACATGGAGCTACAAATTTCTGCATGCAGTTCCACTATTCTATCACTAGATGACAGACCCAGATCAGTTATTGAATGTACACTGGCAAGCTGAGCTCGAACACGGTTTAGAATATGGATGAGTTCACTCCAATCCCTGTTTTTCAGGAGTTGGATGAATTAAACTCCTCAGCTAAGCCTGATGTGCAAACTGTCCAATTCTCTCTTATACAATTCCAGGGAGTATAAACTTTCCACAGTAACTGAAAGACATTGATTGGACAATCAAAACAGTATATAAACCTTTGCATAACAGTAAGGTAGGTTGTATTCTATTAACGTTGCACACGATTGCACAGCTGAAAATGATGTGATTTCAAAGGAAAAAACGACTCCCTAAACCAGCCTGAAGTGTTAAGTTGCATTTACAGGATTTAAATGAGATTAGGACTTGGTCAATGGGAATCATTCCGAATGAAACAAGACTGGAGGGTTCCTTCTACCCGATACATCTGTGTGTCTCAGGAGGAGGGATTCAATCAAGAAAGGTTTTTGTTCATTTTATTAATAAGTGCAATTTTTTTTTACCTATGGGTAGCTGGGTGGCAGGCTTATTGTTTTTTATTCATGGTTTAGAAAAAAGAACAAAAGTCCGCTCACTGTTTAAATAGCTCCCCAAGTGAGTTTATTATCCACAACGTTTCGGCCGACGTGGCCTTCGTCAGGTGCACTTCCAACAAATGTGGAGTGCACCTGATGAAGGCCACGCTTCAAACGCTAGGATAATAAACTCACTTGGGGAGCTATTTAAACAGTGTGCGGACTTTTGTTCTTCTTTCTTTTTTCTACATTGTCCCTTTGGGTCAAGCACCTGTGAACTTCTGGTCTGGATGTGCGTGCATTTTTCTGCTTCTCTTTTATTCTTGGTTTGCCATAGCCATGATGATCACAGAGCTTGTTAGCCACTTTGGTTAGTAAGAGTAACTGTCAGTCTTTGCTGATAATAGCTACTGCATGAGGTGGCATTTTTGGTTTTTCCTGATAGTGGAATTTCTGTTCTGTTATAATAAGGTATATTTCAGATATTACTGAGTTTGCGAGTTACAGTATACTTGTTCCTTAAGTAAACACTATCCACACCTTATAAGGTCGCAAGCTCCAAAGTGGGAACCGCTATCTTTTCATTGCAGGGTGAATGTTTATTATTATTATTATTATTATTATTAGACTGCTTCACTCTACGCAGGACACACACTGCCGTAGGGGAGCCCGTAATTATGTTATACTGTACAGGCCTTAAAATGTTACAAGGAACAGTGAGCGCTGGCTGGAGGAAAGGTGAACTCTCTCTCAGTGACAGTGGACTGCCGACATCCTGCACGTTCTTGGATGGGGCTTCACGAGGACCCAGAGAAAATGGAAGCCGTCAGAACCCAAATGGAAAAGACCAATTTTCCCTGCCTCATCACGTTCCCTGACTTGATTATGTCCAGACTAAATATCCACCATTGTTTTCCACAGTCCAACTGATGCGCTAACAGATGCTGGTTATTATCATATTTATGTAGCCTACAATGTGATTTCACACTAAATGTAATAGCACAATACCTCTCATCGAGTGATCTTTATTTTCCTGTCCCCTTAATGCATTAAGCAGCTTGTTCTGCTTTCTCTCTGAAGCCCCATAGTGCAAAGGATTGTGGCTCTTACTGATTGATGGCCATTCAAATACTGGGCTGCTTTCAAAACAAGTCAAATTCTACATCTGTTTTGATTGCCAGTAATATACACATAAATACACATTCCCATTTAAGAGGAGAACAAATACAGAATTTCTGCTGCGGAAGGCGAAAGCTTGGATCAAACGAAACCCCTCTGAGCAGTTTCAGTGATGCTTCTCGCTGCTTCGAGAGACAGAGACAGACAGCATTCTGGGAGCTCACCCTGGCGAGAGAAATTAACACTGCCAGCAAGAGGAAGGGATAATCCTCACGCTGTCAAGCAAGCTGCCAGCTGGATCCAACACTGATCTTAGCTTTTTTTTCCTTCATTTTTTTTTCAAATTCCTGCTTGACTGTAGGTTTATTTATTAGCAGGATAAGCCATGCTCTGTCTTTATAAAGCCTATAACGCTTCAGAAGATGGGATCATGCAGGCTAACATTGGCTGAAGGCCTATATTCCTCACCTTAATTGACCCAAAATTGATACTGTGAGAAACTCCGTCTGCAGCTGGCAGGAGGGTCTTAGGTCGCTGCGCCCTTGTACGTGGATCATTTTGTATCCTCACTTCGCTCAGCAAAAGGCCTTGAAGTCTTAAGGAGTACGTGTTTTGCTTCGGTGATGCGTTTGCAAAACTTTGCAGTTGCATGTGGATGACCATCCGTCGTGTTCAACTTTTGGCTTCAATCATTCACTGAAGTTAGCACAACACAGATCCAAAAGGGGAACTGTGGAATTCAGACTTGTGTATTAGGGGTTCTGTGTTTGTTTCTGAGAAAGAACCATGACCATGAATAAGAAAATCACGATGCCATAAAACAACACAAAACACGACAGCTAACGAATGATGTGCTTTTAAGATGAAGATATTGGGAGAAGAGGTGAGGGTCAGCTTTACAGCCGGAATCTCTCCGAGCCTGGTGACATTTCGTGACCTTTGTATTACAAGGTTCTGTCTGCCCCAGAAACTCATACGTGATAGAACCTTATAGAACCTTATAATACTCGAGGTCACCATCTGGCACCAGCATGGTCCAGATTTAATTTTGTCCATCAAACCCGATTCTCTCACCATAATACGATGCGATCATGAAACGTAGCTGCATAAAACAAAGCAGTCACTGATATTAGTAAAATCCACAGCACCACACTGTCATTTGTTAACAGGCTGCATCAAATGTTCCAAACTGATAATAGAATACTGATAACCCCCCCCACACACACACACACACACACACATACACACAATTTTCCAGTGGAAATAGGAAATGGATGATCCGAGGCTGCCTGTT